GAACGAATGGTTTTCGAGTTACCAACAGGATTTAATTGGTAATGGTGAAGCGAGTACGAGAGTAGACACCTCGGTAGACAAACTAGTGGCGTTCTCAACACCAAATAAAAATATGTGGTTCATTATCGTACATTGCAAAAATATCTCAAACTAGGGTTGTGGATCAAAGAAGTTCACCGGGTACTGCGTTTTCTTCAAAAGCCGTGGATGAAGAGCTATATTGACAAAAACACGAAATTGCGCAAGAAAGCAAAAAATGATTTTGAGAAAGACTTTTTCAAATTGATGAATAACTCGGTCTTTGGCAAGACGATGGAAAATGTAAGATATCGAATTGACGGTCATTTACTGAGGGACGAACAAGACGCCGCCAAATACAAAAAAATTAACTTATAAACCAAATTACAAATCGACAGTACCATGTGGGGACTGTTCTCTTTCGTTTGTGGAGATGTACCGAACCAAAACAAAATTAAATAAGCGAATATATTGCGGTGTAAGTATTCTCGATATCTCAAAAACGTTAATGTACGATTTCTACTACAACGAACTAAAATCAACTTTTGGTGAAAAAGTACGCTTACTTTATACGGACACTGATTCTCTATTAGTTCAAATCGAGCGAAGCTCCGACGATTTATCTGGTTACCTAAACGAAAAGTGCAATTTATTTGACTTTAGTAATTACCCGCCAGATCATCCGCTTTACAGCGTCAAAAATAAAAAAGTTATAGGCAAAATGAAAGACGAATTTGGTGGCAAAACAATTTTAGAAGCCGTTTGTATCAGACCGAAAATGTATTTAATTCTGACGGTCGATCACAATTTAAAGAAGGCGAAAGGGGTTTCCAAGGTAGTAACTGAGAAAAGCTTGACCCACGAGATGTATAAAAGCTGCCTATTTGACAAAACGCATTATTGCAATAAACAACAACTATTTAGATCGGATAAACATCGGGTGTTCACCATTTCACAAAATAAACTTAGTTTGTCACCGTTGGACACAAAGCGCTACATATTACCGAATGGAATCGATACGTTAGCTTACGGGCATAAGCGAACGAAGTGAGCTGACGGGAATTACCTACCCCGGTAATTCGGTGTCCTCGGGTACTACCTAAGTTCCTCTTTGACGAAACTCCTATTTGGTCCGTTTAACAGATATTATAAAGTTGGGCCCGTTTTGACCCTCTTGCCATTCATCCGTTTAAATTGACTTGTTCGCCTTCCAATTTGATAAACGTCCACGGACCATATCGGATCTGTCGCCCTTCTGACGGAACCGCCCTCTTGCTCGCCGGGTAATAGAGGTACCTAACGACCGCGTCTGGAGGAAGTTCTCTTTGGGTAGTTCTTACAGGTGCACTCGATTCTTGTTTCACTCCACTCGCTAATTTTATAGCTTCTGCAGGAACGGCATCGATTAACCGCGTTTTTTCCTCGTTTAACGA